GGCTCAGCTCTGCACCCGTGGGCACCGACAGCTTGGCAGGTGGATTTCTGCATGCCAGGAGAGGAGATGGGCAATGCTGCAAGAGACAGCAGATCCTGCTTTTGTGCTGCAAGATCCCAGTGCTCTGAGAGCTCACCCACCAGTCTGAACTAAGAGAGAAGCGCTAGAAAACAAAAATATTTCCTGTTTTGTAAATCTGTGCTTCTTGAAACTCTGTGCAATTATGATCTGCCTGCCTGAGGAAAAGGTTGTAGTGGTACTGGAAGGAATGCAGGAAAGGAGCAAGTCAAGGGCACGCCTCTGTGCTGTCTTTGCCTGCTTACTCAATCAGTAACCTCTATAAAAAGGTCTTTCAGGGAAGATCTGCAAGTTATTAAGGCATGACTTGCAAAAGAAGTTGTTAATTTCCTAATGATATCTCAGTGTGGCTTCCAGACTTGGATTTAACAATTTTCCTCTTATTTCTATGAGAAAAATACCAACATTATTTGTATGGTTTTTTTCCTGAGGTACTGTGTTAGCATCTGGTTGCCCTTATGAGAGGTCAGCGTGTTTGGAGACTCCATACATGTATGCAGACCAGACCTGATACCCTTTTTTCTGCTTGGAAGGTCTTAGACTTACATATAACAATCTTACATCTTGTTCCCTCTCAGAACATTAGTTTGAGAAAAAGTCAAAACTCTTGAGAATTGGTGAAATGCATTATAGTGTGGCAGATAATTTCCCAGTACATATTTAAAATTGTATACAAAAAACCAAAAATATATGAGTGAGTGATTCAGGATAGTGTCCAATGTTGTTATCCTGTTTGAAAACTTGTGTCATATATCCATAATCCACACACATTGAAGAGCCTCAGAAGCTGAAAATCTGTTAACCCAAACTTCTAGTGTCAGAAATAGGTACAACAGTTTATTGTGGCTAAAAGGAGAAATGGCAAAAGGTTTCCTTGTATTTTTCCTCCAGGAATTCTGGCCTGCCCTCTGCGACATTATCTGTCAGGAAGTTACTTTTGTTTTCTGTAAGGGAATCTGCCCTACAAAATTTTGTTTTGTCTACTGATTCTGTTTTTAGAGTTTTTGCCATTCTTTGTTTTGTCCCTCCTATTCCATATATCCCATGCAGTGTTTACTTGTACACCTTTTCCTTTTCCTCACAACTGGGAGTGTGGTGGGAAATCCCAATCTCCTCAGCTGCTATCAGGGTCTGTCATGTGGTTTCAAATAATTCAGTACATTACAGTCAGTAAAAGAGACATCACTGATTTAGGGAAAGGGACTGATGACTCATCTCTGCCAGGGAATTGTAATTGGGCACAGATTGTATTTTTTTATTGTTTAAAGATTTGAAATCCACTGAATGTGACGTTCTGGAAGAGCAGAAGGTATTCATCAGACAACTTTATTATGTTAACAAAATATGGGGAAGTTTGTTTTTTTTTTTTTTAATCACATGAATGTGTGAAGTCTTAAGTGTGACATTACCATGTCCTTCTCTCTAGAACTGTTCTAGGGCTGTACAGGGTTTTTCTTACAGTAGAGGATTTAGTCTTGCTTCCAATGGCAGCTGCCTCCTTTTGAAAGCTTCTTGCTGATACTTTTCTGGTAGTGATGCTGCTTCCTTTTTTTTAATGAAACAAAATATTATAGTCTTTTTTTGACATTTCAGAGTCTTCTTGACAGCAATTTTAGCCCCCCCCCCTTTTTTTTTTTGCTGCTAAGATGCCTATTATTTCTGTTATATACTTACAAGATGCATCATTGTATTTGCAGCTTCTGTATCTAATGGACAAATGCTTGTGTAAAGAGAGCTGTCTCAGCATGGATTGTGACACAAAACATAAACAGGGTTTTGAGCAGGAGAGAGGGGATGTGCTGGCCCATCCCTTCTCCCCATGCACTACTGTAGTAAGCCAGGGCCTGGCTCTAGCCTGCTCTTGCTGTGGTGACCCTTCCTTAGGGTTTAGCAGAAGTCAGGACAATTTACAGATGATGAATTAAAAGCCAAGCCAAACCAGAACTAGCTTTTTTTTTTTTTTTAAAGAAAAACCAAAAGTTTGATTTTTTTCATCAGAGAAGGTTGGAAAGGACCATACTCCCCTTGTCTTACTCAGCTTTGAAGCTTTTAGGCTTTTAGCCACTGAAGCATATCAGCCCATTTTTTTTGTGTGTGTTGTACACAGATGATTTCATTTTCTTGTGGGAATTCTGGCCTTCCCTCCATGACAGTGTCTGTCCAAATGTGTGGTGAGTTTTAGGCCTTCACTGTAGGAAGGTACTTTTCTGTAAGAGAATCTGTCCCATGAAATTGAGCTGCACCTAATAATTATGTTTTTGGAATTTTTGGGTTTTTTTTTTTTTTTTGGTCATTCCTATTCCAAATCACATGCACAGTTTACAATTAAAGAGGGATTTTTTGGGCTTTCCAGGCTTTTTACTCACTGTGGGATCCAAATCAATCTGGATGCTTTGATAAATAACTGTCACTTCCCTGTAGATGTAGTGTCATCTGTTACCTGGACTCTAGTATTTTTCACTCACTCTGCTTAATTTTAACCTGCCTCATTCCATTACTTTTGCTGTCTTTCTAAGGACAATAATTAAAGTTGCTTGGGTGCAGACTCTGAAAAAGGTGATCATGTTCTATTATCGTATGCCAAAACAAGTTCCTGCTTAACCCAAGAGCAGAAAATTACATACCTGACCAGTCTTTGGCCAAGTTGGAGTCTTTTCACCACTCTTTTCAGTACATGTACTTTTAAGAAGCCTAACAACCAAAATGAAAGAAAAACCAATTTCTCGAGTCTGAATTGAGACCCTGTGTGCAGGAGTATCAGGACTGCATGAGGAGATGTGATTTTGACTTGGTGCATAAGAAATGAAATAAAATCATTGTATTTTTGTTATTTATCCAGTGGGGTATAAAGTTTCTGAGAGATTTGAGAAATCCTGATTTACAAAACTTGCTGACATTTAATCACAGGTCTTATTATCTCTCTGTGTCTGTCTGTCATCTAAAATAACAAAAGGCATCCATCTAATATGTAAATCTGATCATGCAGGGATCTTGATGCTAGCTTATATTCCTGTTTCTCTACAACACTTCCTTTGATTAAAGGACTCCAGGGGCTACTGCAGTTCTTCTGGACTCACCTTATGTTTCTTCCTGTTCCTTCTCTATTCTGTGTGAAGTTATTTGATTGGTTTTAATCTCCTAATTACCCTTAACTAGTACTTTAATTTGTTTTCCTTTTTGTTTATCTTGAAAATGTGGCTTCTTTAGCTACTCCAGTGATGTAGTTGGGATAATACTCAATTTCCTTCTCTGTGCTTTCAAGGATGCAGCATTGTACACCACAGGAGTTGATAAGGCCTGCAGAAGACAGCTAGCTTCTTAAGGAATGTCTTTAAGGAACTCATGGAGTTATGTGTATTGCAAAACAAGAAATTGGCAGTGTCACCAAAAGCCTTTAAAAAAAAGGAAAACTGTCTTTCCTAGGTGTGGGTGGAGTACATGGCAAAGGACAGTCCTTATAATAAAATAACTGCAAGTAGGATAAAACTGCTAACATTCTGAAGTATTATTTACCCCAGTCCTCAGAGCAGCTTTGCTGCAGGTAAAGAATTCGTGCTGTATCTGTTACTTGCAAGGCCATCCTTCCTACATCTGGTCTTCTCAGCTCTGTGAGTGTAAACGCCTTAACGAGTACAAGGGAATGTTACAATCTGAACAGTTTATTTATTTTTTTTCCTCTGTGCCTCAGTGCAGAGCTGCTAACAGCTTTGGCTCTTTCTGACTTCACTGCGAAATACAAATACACTTCTACTTGACTGCAGTAGGACATTTGCTAACTGTTAATAGCTGTTAATGATGTTACCTCCGGGAGACCCCGAGAGCCCTTCAGGCCCGCAGGTTTGACCCTGTGAGACAGAGGTAGGTGGGAATTTGATGGCATGTTGGAGCTGGCAGGGCCATCAGGCACCTGAGGGACCACATCTGTCCTTTTGTCAGAGCAGTCATGTTTCCGGCGAGGTTTGGTCCTGTTCACTGTGCTAGAAATCCATTAAAGGAGTAAGCAGGGATAGATGGTTCCCTAGGACAATGATTTTACTGGAGTCTGTGCTAACTGAGAATAGGCTTCAGAGTAATTCCCCCTGATTTTGCGCTGAAGGCGTGTGTGACACATTGCAAACTGGGAAGTGGCTGCTGAAGACCCCGACCTCTTTGTAAAACTGTATCCTGTAGTAGTTAAAAACATCAAGTCTTTTCTGGGATGTCTGTGGTGTAGCTGGGGTAGCACAAAGAATCCAGATAGTTTTTCCTAGGATGTAAACTGAATCACTAGTCTCAGGGTAGACGGCACCATGCACTGAGCACGACTGAAGGAAAATTATTTTTGCTCAAACTACCTGAAAGAAGGCTGCTACTTCTCATCTTTAAGCACCTATTAAGTCATCCAGTATTAGTCAGTGTAATTATGGAGGCTGCAGAAGTAATTCCAGATGGCAAACAGTGTTGAAATGTACAATTTAGCCTTAAAAACAAAACAATTTAAAATAGATTTTCCTGCAAGTTAAGGGAGCCCCAGTGTGATTGTCAGTCACCGCAATCAGACACTGCTGTGCACTCAGGGCTTTTTTGGCCTCTCCTGCTTGCTTTCTCATACCACGTTGGCAAGCTGCAACAAGTGAAAACTCCACCCTTCCTACAGACTGGGGAGAATAAGATTCATAAACGGCAACAGCTGGCGAGTAAAACCGGGGTTTCTCTGAAGGTGCAGTTTTTTCAGACAGTCGCTGTGTGCAGCTGAGAAAGGGGCGGGCTCCTTTGCAAGTAGGTTAGTTGTGATTTGCTGAATTCGTAGACTTTTCCCCTCAAAACCCCAGCTCGCTCTCTCTCTCTCTCTCTCTTTTTTTTTTTTTTTTTTTCCTCCTTCTGAGAGAGAGAGAAAGGGAGAGGGAGAGAAGTTGACTTGCGGCTGCCTCTCAGCGCGCACGTCAGCGTCGGTCCGGTCCGCAGCGCCTCGCCCGGCACCATGAGCTCGGAAGCCGATGAGCCCAAGGAAGGTACGGTTCGGAACTATTTATTTTCCTAATGTGTTTATTAGGGGAGGAAATCCACGCGCTGCTTCTCCGAGCATGGAGGAGGAGAGTTTATGCCCTCTTCAGCTTTCGGGTATTCAAAGGGGAGGGGGGAAAGGCCTTTGCAAAAGTGTTGGGAGCCCTGGCGAATTTGCGGGATACGAAGGGACCGAACTGTTGGTGCCCAGGGGTGTCTGTCTGCCTCGGCTGTGGTAATTTACCCGCACGTGGAGTACAGATAAGTGGAAGAAACAGTGTTTCAAAACACTTGTAGTCAAATGTCGAAAGAGGAAGATTTCTTTAGTTTGGAAGCGCTGTATTTTTCAGCAAAAGAGGAAGTTGCATGGGGAGAAGTGAAAGGTCATTATTTTGGGAATAGGGTTGATGCCACTTACTTCCCTGCAGATGAGTGTGCGTGTGTGTGTGTGTTAAAACAGAGGAGAGTGCCAAAGCTACAGCGTGCTGCTGCTTCTGCACGGGATCGTGTGGAGGGGCTGGAAGTGCTCCAACAAAAATGCAATTATTCCCTGGTGTTGATCGGGAGGGGGGTGTGAGAGGGATTCGGACAGTGGGGAGCAAGCGGGGGAGGAGCAGGGCAATTTCCTGAAAGTGCCTATATACAAAAGAGCATTTATATAGATGAGGGAACAGGGCAGTGGTGGGGTTGTATGCTGGATTTCTTAGAATGGAATTGATGTTTCGTGGTTACACAAAGTCCTTAGGGGGACTCAAACATACAGAGATCCAGTATGGCTGAGAAAAATAACTTTAAAAGCCGTAAAGCAAGCAGTAAGGTGACCTAAGCATTTTGTATTTGGTAAAAACAAGAACTTTTCAGAATGTTTCAGGTGGTTTTCCCCTCACGGTCTGTACAACTTCCTTCACTTGAATATAACATTACCAGGGGCATCTCTTTGCTTGCTTAAAAGAGGATTTTGTTGATTTGCAAAAAAGTCTCTTTGCACTGAAACAGAATTAATGCTTATAGTGCTGGTAGAACCTGGTAAGTAATGGAGCCAAATAGCCTCTGTTTTGATATGAATAATCCTTCTATTTTTTTCCTTGTCAAATGAACGGCTGAACCAAAAGGCAGCTTGTCTTTTTTTTCCTTCCTTTTATTTCCGAGAAGATTCTGTGGGACGGATTTATTGAAAAGCAGAACTGTACAAATTATTTCTCTATAGAAACTTTGAAAAAGACAATATGTGAACATTCTCCCTCAGTTTTACTGCAAGAGAGATCTGCTTGCATGCTATAGCAGGGAAGGTCCTCTGGTTTATACAGGAAGGTCCAGACAGTTTTATGAATCTGGCTATATTTGAAATGTAAATTTTACTGTTTGAAGAAATGTCTTACCTTCTTAGCTGACTCTGATTCTTAAAATCAAATATGTTTGCCTTTCTGTACATTTCTTCATAAACAATTTGAGGTGCCAGGATATTCATGCTGAAAAAAAGCATTTGAGGCAGGTGTCTGAGAAAGAAAAAAAAAGGAGGTAGCTTTTTGATTAGCTATTTTTAACTTGGGGAATATTTGGGTTTTGCTGTTCTTTGTTCCTAATGTGTTAGAATGGAAAATGAAACAGTAACCATTGCGGGAAGATGAGGTACAGATGTCACTGGGAAGGTTTTTCAGTCAGTCTGTAAACATATCCCTGGTAATATATTCACATCTTTAAAAGAACAATTTAGAAAATGCATGAGGAAAGTGTGTATGTGAATAAAAACTGGGATTATTAGGTAAAAATGTAGAATTGCAGCTGTCATACTACTTTGCCTATGTCTGATTGAACATTTATGGAATATTTATAAAATACTGAAAAATGCAGTCAAATACCGTGTACTGGTAGTGATCCAGTGTATGTGGCATAAAATAGTCAGAGTCTTTCAACAAGCTCTGTTTCATGAAGAAACTTTGGTTTTTTGCATAAAGAAAATGGATGCTTCACAAATTCAAACTGACTGTTTGTCTCAGTCTTTTGACACTGAGGATATATAATCTTTAAGTGGTTTACCAAAGGGGAGGTTGTTGATTTTTGCTTTAGGTGCCAGACTAAATGTCGCTCTAAAAGAGAAATTCTGATTTACCCACAAACTATATGGTCCACCTAGGGAATCAGGAGGTAAGGTTATGGAAGGAGGAGAGGGTGCACTTAGACAGTTACAGAACAGGTATTTCACCAGATCCTGTACATTTCAAGGCCAAAACTAGTGATGAAGGGTACAGTGGCTAATCTGCTACAAGCTAAAAAGTGAAAGTAGGAGAAGGCTACATGAGAAATGTTGGTTTAATGAACGTTTATAAGCATAGGCAGATTTTTTTGTTTGGTTTCATTAAAGCAGAGGTTCTCAAATGGCCAGGAGCTGGTAAAGGGGTCTGTGAGGAGTTCTGAAGTTCAGTTGCATCTTCCAGGCGTGACTGCCTTGTGTTAGAAGATCAAGCTCAGAGAGTTGAGGGTGCAGTAATAACATTGAACATTGTGTATGTTCTGCCAACGACCTGATGCTGAAGTGAGCAATACTTTCAGCTACCTTATGCAATGGAATTGCAGTAATTGGAGAACATTGGGATGTCTATAAAAGTAGACTTAGTGTGGATTATTTTTAAAAATCTACATAACAAGATCCAAGATTGTAGGCTTTACTACTTTAAAAATTAACTATATCCACTGTTGCAATGAAACCTAAAATCAAGGTCAATTTTGAATGGCTAAGTCCTAAAGATTTTCTTTTTGTAATTCATCAAATAAAGGTAGAGCATTTGACCTCAAGTAAAATCAATTTTTTTTTAACAGGAACAGAGACTAAAAAGACATTGCTAGAAGACAGGCATTGCCCCGGTATATATTACACTAATTGCTGAATATGGGGTATGCAGCAGTGTATGTGGGCTTTTCAGCTTCTGCCTTTGATGTCTTCATGGTCTGTATTAGAATGGTAACATGAAACAGGTTTTTTTCCTCATGCCATGCTGCTCAGTAACTTCAGAACACTCTTTGTATTCGTCTGTATCCCACCATGCTGTGGTAAATATGTGCATGTGTCTTTATGGCATCAATCTGTATTGCATTTACAGATTCCAACAACTGTCATGATATAAATAACCCTGTCACATTTTCTTGTTTTCATTGCTTTCACCCCAGATGAAACAAATCTTGTGTTCAAGTCCATAAGAAGACTTACAGCATTTAACTGCATGGCATAATTTCACTCTGGTGTTGATTGGTGGCATGTCACCTACAATGGAAGGTACCACATGGTTTCAGGCTTTGATTTGACTGAATTCCTTTTCGAGATCTAAAGGAAATGTTATTACTGCTGTTGTGTTAAAACTATGTATAATGAGTGTACATTTTAAAGTACATGGCAGCACCAATCAAGATTATTGTGATGTGAATGCAGCTCTTCAATAGAGGGAAACAGTAGTTTATGTAAAGCTCCAGAGAACTTCAGCCTCATGCTACAGGTTTTATGCAGTATATTAAAAAAAACCAGGAGAAGTCTAATATCTCAAAGGAAAAGTTAAATAATAACAGATATCAGAGTGAATGTAATACATAGCCTGTAAACCAAACTCAGACACGAGTGAGAGCCTGCACTGCACCTTTTTCATACTTAGTTTTGAATACCACATTTCAGGAGAGAGAGAGAGATCAGAACATGCCTACAAGTGCTTGGAGATTTTTTTAGACATGATTAGCATTTTTTTTAATCCAAATGAGATTACCAAAGAATGAGCTCACCTGTTTTGTTCCTTTTAGAGCTCAGAACAACACAAGGGTTATAAAATCACAGAGCAGCCACTGTTTCATGAAGTTGGTATTCCCTCCCATAAGTAGCGCTGGATTTGCTTTGACATTTTGCAGTCATCTCTCATGTATGAATGTTTTCCAAGCTAGAATTTTGTTCTAGACAAGAAATCAAGTGCTCTTGTGCTCCTACAGTCCACTTACTCCACCTCCTCCATCAGTGGGACTCAGTAACGTATCATTCTCCATCCCACTAATTCCAAAACTAGAATTTGTTAGAACCTGTTTTTATTTTATGACAATGAATGGGAAATCCAAGCTGTAGAAATAGAGCGTGTCATTAGTACTTAACCCCACAGATTTGAATCACCTGCTGCTCTCACCCAAAAGACTAAAAAATGTGGTCTTCCTTTGTTTCACCTGCTCTTTGCTTAGTCTCTCTTGTCAAGATAATAATCTTCATAAAGCATTAAAGCCCATGAAACAGGGACCTTTTGTTGTAATAGTCTGGACAGTTCTGTTCTGAAGCATCATCTGGCTCCAGTGGATGTGTTAGAGATCTTGATTACTCAATTTGAGAGTAATCAAGATCTCAAGATTTTTTTTTATCTCACAGATAACTTTCTTACTGTTGATGAGGAGAATGAAAAGATAGCTGGCTGTGCATATCATGTACACAGCTTTGTAAATCACAGCAATGCTTGACAATTTGGCCTTTTGTGCAGTCCCTTCTATAGTTAGTTGGAATTATTAATAGGACAGAGTGATAGGAAAAAAAGTATCCCCCTAGTACAGGAAAGCAGGAAAAAAAGAAAATAAGCTTGTGAGAGTTTTGAAAGAATTATTACTAACCAGGTGCTGTAAAACCATATCACATATGCATGAGGAAAGCATTGCCAGAGGTACAAATAGCAGGGAAAAAGGAAAACAAAGAAGCTAAAACCTTAATGAAGAAGAAGCAATGGGAAATTTTGGGGGAGTAAGAGTACAGTTCATAGGCAAGTTGGAACTGGTAGATTTTTTTTTTTAGTGTAGTTTGGGCGACAATACATTTAATGAAATGAGATGCAGGAAATAAATATCTGTGAGGACAAAAACTACCAGGGTTTGTAGCACAGCTGCTGTAACTTCATTGAGATGTGGGCCCTTGAATCTATCAGTCGGAGCACTGACTTCAGGCTGTAAAGCCATAGGACTCTGTAAGAAGGTCTGCACCTCTCCCCTCCAAAACTGAAAG